TTCCTTTTCAAGTTCCCCAACTCAACAAGGATAACTACGACAATTGGAGTATAAAGATGAAGGCATTGCTCGGGTCGCAAGACACATAGGAGATCGTAGAGAAATGCTACACGGAGCCACAAAACGAGGTCGCTCTATCCCAAGCACAAATGGATAGTTTGAAGGATGCAAGGAAAAAGGATAAGAAGACGCTCGCCCTCATCTATCAAACTTTAGATGAAGACATGTTCAAGAAAGTGGCTTGTATTACTACGAGTAAGAAAGCATGTGAGATCTTGCAAAACCTCCCACAAAGGAGTTGAGAAGGTGAAAAATGTTCGAGTCCAAACACTTCAAGGTGAATTTGAAGCTTTACATTTGAAAGAAATAGAATCAATTTCTGATTACTTCTCCAGAGCATTGGCCATTGTGAATCAGTTAAAGAGGAATGGAGAAAAGAACGACACTCGAGTAATTGAGAAGATACTTAGGTCTTTAGATTCTAAATTTGACTACATAGTTGTAGTCATTGAGGAATCTAAAGATCTAAATAGTATGAGTGTCAATCAATTCATGGGATCTTTACAAACTCATAAGGAAATACTAAAGAAGAAGGTGAAAGAAGAGCTATTAGAGCAAGCTCTTCAAACAAAGCTCACTTTGAACAGAGGTGAAAGAAGTTTCAACAATAGAAGAAGCCAAAGAGGAAAGATCAACGAAGAAGTACATTCTATAAGGAGGAAAGAAGACAAGCTCATTTTCCACCAGAAATCGTGGAAGAGGAAAACGTACGACGCAAAATGAAGGGCTAAGGTATGACAAATCTCAAATTAAATGTTACAAATGTCAAAAACTTGGTCAGTATGCTTCAGAATATAGAAAGGTACTAATCAAGTTGAGGAGAAAGCCAACTATGCTAGTCGGGAAAACGAAGTGGATCTTGCACTACTGTTGGCTTACAAAGGTGAAGAAAGTAGAGAAAGAACACATGGTATTTGTATGCAGGAGCAAGCAACCATATGTGTGGAATAAAAAACATGTTCATAGAGTTTGATGAATCAGTAAGAGGCAACATTACCTTTGCAGATGAATCAAAAATCCCAACGAAAGGAAAACATAAAATCTTGATCTGCTTGAAAAATGGTACTTATTAATTTATCTCAAATGTCTATTATGTGCCCAATATGAAAAATAACATTTTAAGTTTAGGACAACTCTTAGAGAAGGACTATGATATTCATTTGAAAGATCATAATCTTTTAATAAGAGATCAAAGAGAAAATTTGATTTTTAAAATCCCTATGACAAGAAATAGAATGTTTGTGTTAATCATTCAAAATGATGTTGCTAAATACTTAAAAGCTTATTCTAAAGATTCACCTTGATTTTGGCACTTGAGATTTGGACATCTTAATTTTGGAGGCTTAAAGTTGTCGAGTAAGAAGAAGATGGTGAAAGATTTGCCTCCAATAAATCATGTGGATCAACTATGTGAAGGATGCTTACTTGGAAAGAATTCGAGAAAATGTTTTATAAAAGAAGCATCTACAAGAGCTAAGAAGCCACTAGAACTTGTACACTCAGATATTTGTGAGTCAATCAATCCAAACTCTCTTGGTAAGAACAATTACTTTGTTCTTTTTATTGATGATTTTAGTAGAAAGACTTGGGTCTATTTTCTCAAACAAAAATCGAAAGTTTTTAGAACTTTCAAAAGGTATAAAGCTCTTGTTAAAAAAGAAAATGGCTATAGCATAAAAGCCATGAGATCGAATAGAGGATGAGAACTCACCTCCAAAGAGTTTGAGAAATATTGTGAGGATAATATAATTCGTCGTCCATTGATGGTTTCATACTCTCAATAACAAAATGGAGTAGCCAAAAGAAAGAATAGATCAATTCTTAACATGGTCTGCTGCATGCTCAAAAGTAAGAGATTGCCCAAAGGACTTTGGGCCGAAGCCGTTAATTGCGCCGTATATCTGTCTAATTGATCGCTTTCTAGAAGTGTGTAGAATAAGACACTACAAGAAGCATGGAGTAGAAGAAAGCCCAGCATCTCTCACCTACAAGTATTTGGGAGTATTGCTTATGTTCATATACCAGATCAAAAGCGGTACAAGTTAGATGACAAAAGTGAAAGGTATGTCTTTATCGGCTATGACTCTCGCTCTAAAGGCTACAAGTTATATAATCCAAGCAATGAGAAGATCACTATTAGTAGAGATGTCGAGTTTGTTGAAGAATGAGCTTGGGATTGAGGTGTCCAAAAAAAAGACTACGACTTCTTACCTTTCTTTGAGGAAAAAGACCAAGAGAATGGAAAGTAGCAAGAGCCTACAAGTCTTCCTCCATTACCTACTCATGGAGATGCTTCACCATCATCTTCAAAAGGATAAAGCTCAAGCAAAAGCACATCACGAATGAGGAGCCTACAAGAGCTATATGAGATAACAGAAAATCAAAATGATCTCACACTTTTTTGTCTTTTTGTCGATTGTGAGCTAATAGGATATGAAGAAGTGCCGCAAAATAAAAGATGAAGAGATTAAGGCTATTGAGAAAAATGACACTTGAAAGCTGACGACTCTTTACAAAGGAAAGAGAGCAATTGGAGTTGGGTGGGTATACAGGTCAAAGAAAAATGCTGAAGGAAAACTAGAGAAATATAAAGTAAGATTGGTTGCTAAAGGATACAACCAAAGGTCGGGAATCGATTATGAAGAGATATTTGCTCCTGTTGCTCGTTTAAAAATTTTAAGATTAACTATCTCTCTTACAGCGCAAAATAAGTGAAAGATATTTTAAATGAACGTGAAGCCAGCTTTTCTAAATGGTTATCTTGATGAAGAAATTTATGTGGAGCAACCAGTTGACTATAAAATAGAATGATATGAAGGAAAAGTCTTAAAACTAAAAAAAGTTTTATATGGGTTGAAACAAACTCCAAGGCATGGAATAGTTGAATTGACAAATACTTTTAAGAAAATGGCTTCACAAAATGCCCTTACTATGCCCTTTACACAAAGGTAAGAAAGAATTGAGATATTTTGCTTGTTTGTTTGTATGTAGATGATCTTATATTTATAGGAAGTAATCAAAATATGATCACTGAGTTTAAGAAGGCCATGACTCAAGAATTCGAGATGACGGATATCAGCCTCATGGCTTACTATCTTGGGATTGAGGTAAAGCAAATGGAGGATTGCATCTTTATCTCACAAGCAGGGTATGCGAAAGAATTCTAAAGAAATTCAATATGGAGGATTGCAAGCCTGTATGCACCACCATCGAATGCGAAACCAAGTTGTGAAAAAATGATGAAGGTGAAAAAGTAGACCCAACACTTTTTAAGAGTCTTGTTGGAAGTCCAAGATACTTGACGTGCACAAAATCAGATATCCTTTTCGAAGTTAGGCTCATCAGTGGTTATATGGAGACACCTACTATGATCCATATGAAAGCCGCAAAGAAAATTCTTCACTACATCAAAGGTATGCTTGATTACGGTTTAGTCTATTCAACATCTAATGAATTCAAACTTTGTTGGATGTAATAACAGCGATTGGGGCGAAGACAGTGATGATAGAAAGAGTACGACCGGGTTTATGTTTTACTTGGACGACATAGCTTTAACTTGGAACTCGAAGAAGCAATTGATCGTAGCACTATCTACATGTGGAGTTGAATATGTAGCAGCCACATCAAGTGTTTACCATGCAATTTGGCTTAGAAACTTGTTGAAGATGCTTGAAGTCTCACAAAAAGAATCGGCATTGATATTGGCAAAAAAACCCAATATTCCACAGTAGAATCAAACACGTTGATACAAGATATCACTTCATAAGAGAAAGAATTGCAAAGAAAGAAGTGTAGCTGAAATATGTAACATCTCAGGAGCATATCGCCGACATTCTCACTAAACCACTCAAGCATGACGTGTTCCGCAAGTTAAGAACTCTACTTGGAGTAGCAAAATCAAGTTTAAAGAGGGATATTGAGTAGTAAACTTGATTTTTGGACTAAATAATATGAGCTTCAGGATTTTGCTCACACCCAGATCAATTAAATAGTCCAACATGCTTGGCATTTCTTAAAAAATTGTCTAAAAAAATCTATATAAATATCTACTAGAAATATCTATATAAACATCCAAGTAAAATATGTGATGATAAATGTGGTTATGTGTCAAGAAGAATATATGGTCTTATAAAGCCTATCTAAAGTATTCCAGCAAAATATCATGTCCAAATATGTAGTCTAAAAGTCTCATGTAAATATGTGATCTAGGAGTTTCTAGAAAATTGTGTGGACTAAAAGTTTCATGTAAACACTATATAAAAGGGTAGGATCTTCCATTTTGTAGCAAGCCAAGTGTGTAAGTTTTGGAGTTGAGAAATACAAGTTTTCTTTTGTTCACTTTCTTCTTCCTATTAGTATTATCCTCCTTAAAAGTCTTAGCCAATCCAAGTTAGTAAATCCCTCTTTCCTATAACAAATTTATTATTATTAATTTTTTTTTTTTTTTTTTTTTTAACACTTTTAACAAGGGGCCACGCCGCCGATGTGCTATGCTTTACCATTTTTGTTCATCTTTGCCTTCCTTTCCTCAATAATACATAATCATCAACTCGTGTGAATATATTCTTTAATATTGTTTAGTTATATTTTACAATGACTTACCACTTGCTAGATAGAGATTAGAGAAAACTCGTAATCTGTCTGACTATGCAAGTTATAGGAGATACTTAAATACCTGATAAAACGACCATATCCTTGGTGGAGAGACCTCTTGCTTTGAACCTATTTTTGAGGTTGGTAAGAGTAGAAGTTGGAGGTGGGATTACACCACTATTTGCAGCTGAAAGGCTTGCTGATTTTGAATCCCTCCTTCCAAGTTTCACTTTCCAGCTAGGTCCTCCGAGCTGAAAAAATATTGTAAAATTAGTACTAATTTTTTAAGCTAAGCCAACTTGCAATAATTAATCTTGTAAGCAATATGTTTTTAAATGTGCAGGATTAATTAGAACAAAAACTCACTATAACAACAGAATCACGAGCAGCAATGGCCAAGATATCAGCACATGACACGACACCTGGACATACAGCCTCAACCTTAGATTTAATGTTATCGACCACATTAAATCCTCTAATGGAGTTGTTGTTAGGCCGAGCAGTTTTCTCCCCGGTGAAAGAAGAAGTGTCGTCAAGAAGAACTGATGCATCACAACCCTATTAAAAACGAGAAAGATCGTTAATCATAGTTACATGTTTAATTAGCTCTAAGACACGAATTAAAGAACTCTAATAAATACAAAGTTTTTATAATTATTTGAAAAAGACTACGTACCAATTTAGGCTTTTCGTCACATGACAGAACAACCGTATTTGGATAAAAGAGTCATAAAATTGATTGATTAAAAAAGGAGAATAATCTTATGTTAATGGAAGAAACAGTGCTCCATAGATTGTGACAAAAAACTGTGATTTGCCAGTGGAATCTCTGTGAGAATTCGATTGGTCACACGAGACCAGTCATAAAAAATTATTAAACCTCGATGACATATTTTCTACGGATCTCACCAAAAATGAAAAAGTTATTCCGGGAGTCACTTTCAAATCTTGGCCTTTTCATGATAAAGTTTGAATATAATTGTTATATATGACGTACGAAATAATTTTATACATGTTCATTAGTTCATACATAATTGAAATGTCACCACAATGATTGAATTGCAATTTTTATTTTTATATGTTCACTGTATTTTATGTACGGAGTAATGTATAAAATTAAATGATCCATTTGATAAAGTTTTCGATTTATTTTTCACTGAAACATTGTCAATATTGTATAGTCTCACTTTCCTAAATATGTAGTGAGTGAAAGTTGAATTTAACGCCGACGCAAGTCGAGACCAATAACATATGTTGAGCACAAAGTCAGCAACACGAGTAGCTAGGCACATAAGTAGGCTGCGAATGCACACTGCAAAAAACAAAAACTTTTTGACTTGAAAATTCTTTTGGCAGATATTTTTTTTTTGACAAAAAACCAATTTAAATGATTTTTTTTGGGAAAAATTTTTTTTTTTAAAACTTGTGAAAAATAATTATTTCGCATTGTTTGATCATTTAAATTTGATAGGCTATAAGTTATGTTTGAATTGAGCAATCTTCAGGTTTTCTAGGCCATTATTATTAGGGAACAATACATAATCCAGGCTTTTAACGTACATCATTTCATTTTTAAGAATCAAGATTTAAATATGCACAAATCAGGTCATAAATCATATTATAAGTGTGTGTGTGTGTGTGGTATGATTACAAACGGCTCTTTAAAATAAGTAATCCGTTATAATTTCTGTAGGAATTTCGATCACAAATCAATGTCACATCCCAAAAAAAGAAGTTCGAGCAATCGTAGGAAGAAAATCATTTCACATTATCAGAATCGAATTCGATACCAATCGGAATTAATTGATCCATAATCAAGCAACCATCGTTCTTCCGTAATTTGGATTACAATCAGGTATGTGATTCCAATTTTGAAATCCTATGACAGTGTCTGTATTCATCGTGTGTGGTCGAATTCAACCAATTCATGTTAGGGCGTTATGATTTACAGACAGTTTCCTATGTGACTCAGCTGCATTATGATTGTGGACGTGAAATCATTACGTTACGGATAGTTACTTATGTGACCAGTCTCAATATGTAGCATGAATTTTAATGTGTGACCGTCATAGGTGATTGTGATTGACTGCATGTGGTAGAGTTCTAGGGATCATACATAATTTTTTGTATGTGACCTTCAATTGTATATGAAATCATACTTTCTGTCAGTCCCAAGAACTATATAAATGTGAACATAGCAGATACCTTAAACTGATATGTGACTAATTTTCTCATCTAAATCCGACAGTTTTCCTTTTGGATTTTGCAGAAATGGAATATGTGCACGTTTGCTTGTTACACAAGTCACAATCAACACTGGTGATAGTTGATAATAATTGTTGTTATATAAAACTTGTGGAAACAGCAGTGACAGAGTTCAGTCTAGATCCTACTAAGGTAGCTGTCACAATGACTTACACACTGAATGCTGATCTGCCTCCAGTAAGAATAAGTAGTGATAGTAATGTTCGAACATACGTGACTCTAAAAACTGTAGAGCGTGACCCGTCAAAGTACCCCATAAAAATTGAGGTGACATCTATAGAAATAGGACATGAATCGCTCAGTTCTATGTTGGACAATCCTAATGCACTTTATGCGCAATCTAGTGCAGGGGTGTATCCGTTGCAGAATATAACAACTAACATATGTGATGCAGTTGTAGAAACATCCCATCGCATGGATGAAAATTTGATCACAATTGTTTCCATTCCTGATACTATGAGTATAGAAGAAGGCAGAGTGTTTCGCAATAAGGATGTTTTGAAATTGA